AAACATGCAAAGAGGTCATTTCGTTCCCCAGTAAATCATTATTGCACTCATTCACTTACCAAGCCCCCACTAATGTAAAATCTCTTGGAATATAAGGTTCATTGTAGAATACAAGCCTTCTTTCATGCTTTACATAACTTGTTGGTTGCTTACTGCCAGATCTGCGTTGGATGAAGGCAAGAATCTTTCACCTAGCCAAAATTCAACTTCCTCCCCTTTTGTTGAGAAACGACATTAACATTTCCATTCATGTTCGTCGCCCTGTTTCAGTGTCAGTCTGATCGCACCGCCCACCGCCCTCCAGCCCTTACGTGGGCAGATCAGTCAGATATGCAAGGCCTCCGAACTCCCCAAAGCCATGTTAACAAGCACCTTTACAAAAGAGTGAGAGGACTGTTAAATATTCGGGACTGCAGGGGTCTGGAAAGTGTGGGAGGAGGGCAGGGACGGAAGGACAGGGGCCAATGGGAGGGAATTTAAAAAAGTACAATCACAAACCATGGATCCCTTGTCTGAAAGACCTCCGCAAGTGATGAGTCGGTGAAAGCCTCTTAAAGTTTGCTGGCTCGGTGCTTCTCTTATTGATGATGGAAAAGGAAGTGTTCTGGGCAAAGTCAAAGGAAATGAGCTGGAGGACATCTTAAAGAAGAATTATCACGTGAGCAGATGTGGCCATTTCAGAAGCAGAAGGAAAAAAAGCTTTTGAGGTGCATACATCTGCTTGAGAACTTGGCTAAAGTTCAAGCTTCACATTCCTGTGATTCAGGTCTGACTGTGTGGACCATCCCCGCCGATACTCGGCCGACGTTTGAAAGCAAGAGTTTGTAAAGCCGTGAGTACGGCTCGGTCCTAGGGAGATCCTCCCCTATAGTCACACATGTTCCACGTGAAACCCAAGCTGCTCTCGAGCAAGGCTGCATTTTTGCAGGTTATTTTGGTCTCATTTGCAAGTCAATAGATCCGACTGGAACAAAAGAGAGCGTCTCATGTCTTGACCCGCTACCTCAGCTGAAGACAGGTTATCTCTCATTTTTTTTCTGTCACACTTTCAATCTAAAAAAAAAAAAAAAAAAAAAAAGACATAATTGAAACCAAACAAACTCTTGACTGAGCCACCAGGTTCAGTCACAAAGGCGCTATTGTTGAGAACATCAGAGACGTTTTATTGGGACGTGTAATGACAAAAATCCGCCTGACCCGAAACCCTCGGGGCACAGTGCAGTTCCAAACGAATCCGCAGCCACCACCATCCGTCACACTCGGAGCTGAAAGGGAATCAGATAGCACAGAGGCCACCGTGGCTGACTTGTTCTTGGGGACGATAAGCTGATCTGGATGGCCAGTTACTGTCTGGACTGTCTCGACACTGTCACAGCTCACAGAGAGGCCTGTTCCCATGCATCTGCACACCTGCATCCATGTGTGCATTCCCTCTGCGAGAAGCAGCCAGACATATAGATATATCACTCTTGGAAAGAGAGGACAGATTTTAGACCCTTTAACTGTGTTCAAAGGTTGCGCTCGACTGCGTCTGGTTTTCTCAGCTGTCTCCCTGTGGCCCTCTGTGTCCTGGCCAGCCACAGGGGGTTTGGGGGGGGGGGGGGGTTGGGGGGGGGGGTTACCCACGGGGGGNGGGGGGGTTGAGGGAGGTACACATCCAAGGGGGGATGTGAAGCAAAGACCAGCTTGCTGGATCCTGGTTTGAACTCCCATTTGATCTCAGCTAGAAACCCTCAGCCTGTGAGAAATGACCACAACTGGACACACACTCATTGTAGCCATGCTTACTCAGTTCCGAAAAAGTTTGACTAACAATGAATTACGTCTCACCTCCAAAAACACACAACTTGGCCCAGCTCAGGGTTCCACGGTGACCTTAAGAGTGAGAGTTGAGTGTGCACAGATATTTGTTGTAAGGACCTCAGTGTTTGCCTTGTAAAGCACTTTGAGTTGCCTTGTTGCTGAAAAATGTGCTATATAAATAAAATTACCTTACCGTACCTACAGGCAACTCATAGGCAACATGCTCTGCTTCTTACCCAGCTCTGACTGGTCCTATTGCAATTAGAACAGACTCAGGTTGAACGCGACCCTGAACAGTAGGATTTAGAAAACTGCTGTTTGAGGTACAAACATGCCATCTTACTGTAACATCAATAATAATAATAATAATAATAATAATAATAATAATAATAATAATAATAATAATAATCACAAATTCAAAAGTAAATATCGCAGAAATCTATTTCTGTAATGAGCCTTTTACTATTGGTTGGTGTTTTTGCCACATTCAATTAGTGGCTGTAAACAAGCAATTGAAAATCTGATGCAGACACATTAAACAGTTTGAGTCCTCAAGCTTCCCCTTGATTAATCTGCACCCTGAGCAGTGAGATATGTCTGCCAATTAAAGAACTGCCAGTACAAAGATTAACATATTAGTTTAAAGTTGTTATTCTGTGCTGGACTTTGAAGATTAAGTTTCTTCATCGAGTTTATTGTGTAAGTTCCCACCCCCCACCCCAACACTTCTTTTTAGCTGTTGATCTAAAGAAAAGTTACTAACTGAATTTACCACACTGGTCAATTCTTTGATCTTCGTGCTATACGTCTTTCCCTGGTGGTGTGCTGTTAGCATAAATCCACTCCGACCCTCCCGATCCCAGCAGCTACACCTGTCTGGCACATCTTTGTTCAACTGGAAGATAAGAGGAATGATCAGACACTCACTGCAGCAGGTTGGAAAACAAACGGGTCAAAGAGAAAGGGGAGATGAAGGGACAGAAGCAGGGGCTGTGGACATTTCCCATATGGTGGGACTGTTTTAAGGCAAGGGTGGTGTTTTTACAGACCTCCAACTCAACTGATCAGGCCGGCTTCAGATCCCAGGTGGCGGCCCCTTTTGGGGAAAAAAGAAAAACGTAGAATTTCAGCAACAAAGCCCCCCGTGTGAACCTACACCACGTCAGTGATTAAAATTTCAAAACTGCACAACTTGTTTTTTTAAATAAATGTTTCAACTAAAGTATGTAGCTCTTTCTGTATCTTCATTTTGCATAAATCTGGATTAGCAAGACCAGGAGGCTAAAGCTAACAGTGACTTTTAGATCTGACCACAGTGGACTTTTATTCTCTGTAGCTTCAGTCTCAAACAGGTCACGGCGATTGATGCGGATGTTGTGCTGCAGACCGTGAAACCGTCGTCATTTTTGCATTGCACGGTTATTTACTCAGAAGCTGGTGATTACAGTACTTACATGGGAAACAGAGGTAGGTGGCGGTGCACCACCCTTACTGTGTGAGACGCTTATATACGATGGAAAAATATACAGTGGAACACGTGAAGCATTTCTAGTCAGAGTATCGGTTTGATATAATTACAGTGATGTGAAAATCTAAAATATCGACGCGGTCTTGTTGAATGCTGCTTTATAGAATTTTTTCAAATTGATGTTTTATTTCAGCATACATTTATGAGTACTGTTGGATATTGTTACTATGATGAGATTTGGTGATTGACCCATCAGGATTTTGGAATTTCCTAATTGTCTCTCCATCCACAAAAGCCACACGAGAACCCCATATGTTAAGCTGCCACCACAATAGCTGTGACAGGGTGTAGTCGTCTTTATGACCATCTTTATGAAGTTAGTCCTGTCGACAGAAGTGAGCCAAGAAAAGATACCATAATGGGCTTTGAGGGAAAGCCGTGACCCTGATTATAGACTCAATGAGTGTGATTCAGCTGGTTAACATACAACCCAAAGGAACCTAATTAGATGCATGAGGAAAGTACAGTCTTCACATCTAACCTCTAGATCTTCTTTCCCTTTCCATGTTTTTTCAGTGAACAGAGTCTGATGAGCCTGGCAAGTGCAGCCGGACCAGCTGTCCACCTCCAACGTGGGAAACAGCAGAGGGACTTTATGATGGACCAGAAAGTCAGTAAGCTAACCTCTGGCTTTCAGCGCAGCTCTACGTCTGACGATGACTCGGGCTGTGCACTGGAGGAGTATGCCTGGGTGCCACCTGGCCTTCGACCGGAACAGGTAAGGAGAAAATGGCCGATTATGGATGCTAGGGATGCTTGTTTTCTTGGCTTAGCAGAAGCTATCTGACCTAGAAGTGAGGCCACTCTCTGAAGAAGTGACGTCCATTTCTTTACTTAGCAAACCCCAACTTTCTCCGGAATACCACAGTGAATGTTCATCAATCCTCCTGATGGAGAATAAAAAGAACTCTGACCTGATTCTATCTCCCTTTTAGCCCATTTAACTGTCCCAGATAAATGGTATTCAGCACACTTTGTGAACAACACATCAACTCACAGGAGAATGATGCCTATGGGATGAACAGCATATTTCATGAAGCCCGTTTAGCTCTTTTTATTAGACACAGTTTAACAGGCCATCACGGAGAGGCAGAATGCAGATAATTGAAAAAAAAATCCCAACCCCTTAAACTTTTTCGCATTTTGTCTTGGTATCACCTCAAACTTCAATGGTTTTAAAAAGTTTTTTAAAACATCTTAAATGTTTACTTGCATTTGTATTTGGTCGTCTTTATCCTAATACTCCTCAAAACAAACAAACGAAAAGTACGTAAACTAGAAATGAAGAGTTCAAAGTTGAACCTACCATACATGGCTGTCCACACAAATCAGCAGGCCAACCAAGATTAGCCTCAATCAAAGAAGCAGCATAGATGTGAAGATCCACTGCTCAGGAAATTGGCCTTCATGGAAGAAGATATAGTTTGCCACAAGCCATGTGAGGGGACACCACAAACATTTTGTAGAAGCTGATCTTTTCAGTTGAGTTCAAAACGGAGGCTTTTGACCTACCCGCAAAAAACTGTGTGTGTGGTAAAATAGTGATATCCCTCTTCTGCCTGAGCACACTGTCCCCATGGTAAAGCATGGTGGTGGTAGCTGAGTTAAGGAGAAAGGTGGATGGAGTGTTCTCCTTAAAGATTCATAAACTAAAAATGAAGAGTTCAAAGTTCAAAGTTGAACCTACCAATACCAATGCATGGTATTGGTAGGTTCAATACCATGTATTGGTATTGAACCAATACATAGGTTCTCTTTCCAGTGGGGCAATGAGCCCAAACATACTGACCGAACTATAATCAAGTTAAATAGTTGATAGATTGGTTCAGCCAGGCGACCTATTCCAAGACTTGAAAATTGCTGTTCATAGAATATGCCTGTTTAATTTAACTAATCTTGGGTTATTTTGCAAATACAGCAGACTTGGTGTCTTGGTACCATGATAAAAGCCGAGGGTGGTTGTACAAATGATTGACTCAATGGGGCCTAATGCAAATGCAGGGTGTATTTTTCAGGTTTGATTTATAACACAGCTGAAAACTGTGTATTATTTTCTCTCCACTTCACTAATTGATTCGTTTCTCATAGCATCTCAATAAAAAAGATTCCCATTTGTGATAGTAATGTGACAAAGTGGGAAAAACGTCAAGCAGTTTAAAAACATTTGCAAGTGGAAGACATCTGCTTGAGATTATTAGGGAAACTTGCCATTTCTGACTGCCAAAGAAGACAACAGGCTTTCTCTTATCAAGTCCTGTTAGTCGTCTCTGCAATGCAGAACTTCTCTTATACTTCCTCTACATTGTGATTTTTTTTCCATGTTTCCCTCTTGCTCCTAATATCCCTTTGTCATCAGACTTATCAAAACCAACACGTAGAAGCAGTGAGTGGCAGGTGATATGCAACAAAACATCAGAATGCAATCAAAGAGAGCTTAAAAGCATTTTTTATTGGGAAAATGCAGAGGTCAACTGTAATGCCTTTACTGCAGTCAGTTGTCTAAATGGGCTTTGCATTAGGGGTCATCACTACAATCTAGAAACAGATAGGTCTTGGGTGATAACTGACTGTTCGCAAGCCCCAGGGGAGCTGGATGAGGGGTAATAGTGGGATAAAGATGTGCATAATTTATGGTGTTTGAGGAGGAATAGAGGGTGAATGTGAATGTAAACCGCCTCAAAACCCCCAGACGCCCCGAAGCTGCAGGAAGTCCCACAACACACAAAACAGGCACAGCCCACCTCTTTATCTGGCTGATTGTAATAGCCCCTCACTCATAAAGTTTAGATTTCATTGGCCAACCCCAAGGGTCAGCGGCCCAGCATAACAGGCTGTTTTTGTCCTGCACAAAAACAGCAAGCTGAGTACTGGCAAATACAACTGTTAAGCCGATCTGACCTGCTGACCTGCTGTGGTTGGTGTAATTTATGAGGACTGTGATACCTGCAATTGTATAATCATGACTATATGAGGTGTCGTATTGTGGTAAAATTCCCCAAGAGTCCTTATTCCAGACATTTTAGATAACACTGTCCCATATAGAGTACACCCAGAAAGTATTCACAGCACTTCAACTTTTCCACATCTTACGTTATGGTTTTATTCCAAACTGTATTAAATTAATCTCTTTCTTCCAGATTCTACACTCAAATGACCTCATTATGACAATGTGGAAAAAAATTGAAATTTACCAGTGATGGAGGCCACTGACCTTATTGGGACCTTCAAAGCAGCAGAAATGTTTTTGTATCCTGTCAATCAATCCTGTCTCAGCGGTTTAGAGATAATTCCTTTCATTTCATTTGCACTCTGACATGCACTGTCAATTATGGAGCCTCATATAGACAAGTGTAAATAGACTGAATTTACCACAGGAGGACTCCAGTTAAGCTGTAGAAACAACTCAAGGATGTTTCAATTAAGGATGTAACGTAACATTCAGAAAAAGGTGAAACACTGTGAATACTTTTCAGATGCACCGTATGTCTTTTATCGTCCTTTTCTTGCTCAGACCTTTATGTTTGTTTGATTGATATGTAGTATAGCATCTGGTTTGTGTTAGAGTTATATCGCTCTGTCCTATGGTTCCCCAGGTCGGGGTCAGACTCTACTGAGAGATTGACAATCAAGTGTAGAATCTTGCGATTCCGAAGAGATAAAACTAAGTACGGTTAAAAACAGATAAATCAATCAGTACTAACAAAAAAAAATTATATATATATAGAAAAAAAAAACACTGTATAGGCTAGTGAAGCTATTTGCCTTACTTGCTATGCTTGCATTCTCAACCAATACTTGGGTCATGAGTCTCTTTTGCTCTTACTTTATAGGTTGGAAGCAGGAACATTTCAGAACCATTGATGTGTTCTACGCCTTGATTTGTTTTCAGGTGCAGCTGTATTTCTCCTGTTTACCTGAGGACAAGGTCCCCTATGTGAACAGTCCGGGAGAGAAGTTCAGAATCAAGCAGCTCCTCTACCAGCTGCCACCACACGATAATGAGGTGAGGAATATTGTTTGCAGCGTAAAGAACAGCTTATTCCAACTGGGTCGTCTTACGTTTAGCAATTCCGATGATGTCGAACACTATTCCGTCTCACAACATGCCGACACGCCACCCGGGGGATTTTTGTACCGCAATCTTGAAGGCAGGCAGTGTAGGCACAATGTGACGTTTGACTTGATGCCTTTATGATATTTGCTGGAAGCCCGCACCAGCAGGATTCCTGTCATAGCAGTGGTTTTTACGAGGAGCGCTTAGCAGGAGAGAGGGCTGCTGGTTGAAAGAGACTTTATGTGATGCCACCACCGCAGTGGCACCACGGCTCAACTTGGCCGGCTCTCTGCCTTTGTCTTCTACCCTCTTGAATCCACTCTAAACACAGACCTTGTTTGTGTAAACGTCTGCTTTCCCTCTTGTTAGGCCTTTGGGGAACATCAAAAAGACCCATTGTAAAAAAATAGCTTCTCAAACAGGGGCGGTGGGTGGAGATCTGTTGTGGGGTGTAGGAAGGGCAAGCTGGGGTCAATAGTTGCTTTTGTTCAGCACACTCTCGTATTCTCTCTCCCCTTTCCCCAAACTTACAAATTTTATTAGGCACCCACATTCCTGCAACACGATATTTCGACAAGCATCAAATAAAAGATCAAATCAGTGCAAAATTTTTATGCCCCTTTGCTTCCAGAACAGGAGAAAAAGTCAAATTCTGGCTTAAGTCTGATGCATCAAATGGTTTTATTAAACATAGCTTATCACCTTCTTTCCCAGGTTCGTTACTGTCAGTCACTCAGCGAGGAAGAGAAGAAGGAGCTGCAGATGTTCAGTCTCCAGAGGAAAAAGGAAGCACTGGGAAGGGGAGCTGTGAAACTGATGCCTCGCAATGCTCAAAATGGCATTTGTGAGCAGGTGAGTCATATTCACTACATGTTTTTATTGATAAAGAAGTTGCTTTGTGATCAAGAATCAAGCCCATACTCGTCAAAAACGACTAAACTCGTATACAGTTTCTTGTAACAAAACATAAGCAGCAATTCTCAAGTCTTGACATAGATTCTTAATTGTGTGCAAGTTCAGATTTTCAGTGGACTATCTTAACACGCAAATATATTATGTATGTTCAGAGCTGTCCTGTAAGAGACACACCCGCTCTAGTCTCAATTTCTTTGCAGTTTCCAACACACTTCCAGTAATGGCACAGCATTTAACTATCTTTTCTGTTATGTGGGGTTATGATGAGTTGCCATCAGCACTCGGTGCCTTACAAGCGGTAGTATCACCCTTTGAATGCCCTAATTTGGAATACATGGATGTTTGAGCTGGAGCCAATTCCAAACCAAATTTCTACCATCTTGAAACAATTCTAATGTAAAAAAATAAAAATAAAAAAATCCATATTTCAATGAACATACAAATGGGATTTAATTAACCCTTTACACTGCATCAATTTTGCCAACGATAGCCTTGGCTTTGCTCTGAATAAGGAAGTTGAAGTACAACTGATATGTAATTCCATATGTTAAAATCAGCCTGTTATGCCTTTGACTGCAGTGCGGTGAGGATATGAACGGCGGGGAAATGGGAGTGTTTGCCTCAAGGGCGAGTCCTGGGCTGTGCTGGCACCCAGCATGCTTTGCCTGCTCAACATGCAACGAACTGCTGGTGGATTTGATCTACTTTTACCATGACGGAAAGATCCACTGCGGAAGGCACCATGCTGAGTTGCTCAAACCACGCTGCTCGGCCTGTGACGAGGTACAGCCGCAAGAGTGATATTTAGTAAAACCAACTTCAAGTCTTTATTCTGTTGGTAACTGCTATTTCTCTCTTTCAATGCATTTGTGGGGTTTTTTTTTCTCACCATAGATCATCTTTGCTGATGAATGCACAGAGGCGGAGGGCCGTCACTGGCATATGAAGCACTTCTCCTGTTTTGAATGTGAGATCATTCTTGGAGGGCAGCGTTACATCATGAAGGACGGTAGACCGTACTGTTGTGGCTGCTTTGAATCGCTCTATGCAGAATATTGTGAGGCCTGTGGAGAACACATTGGTAGGACATGTATTTAACATAAATTCACAGATTTACAAAAATCGACGCACTCCACCTTGCTTATGTACATATTTCCTTCTGTTCAGGTGTTGATCATGCTCAGATGACCTACGATGGGCTCCACTGGCACGCCACCGAGAACTGTTTCAGCTGTGGCCAATGCAAGAGTTCTCTCATCGGTTGTCCTTTCCTGCCACACCAGGGTCGCATTTACTGCTCCAAGGCCTGTGCTCTTGGGGAAGACGTCCACGCCTCTGATTCTTCCGACTCCGCCTTCCAGTCAGCGCGTTCACGTGAATCCCGCTGCAGCGTTCGGTTGGGCAAGAGCAGTCGCTCAGCTGACCAATGCAGACAGTCACTCCTCTTCTCTCCCTCTGTCAACTATAAATTCCCAGGAATTAGTGAAAATGCTGAGGACACCTTGACAAAAATTACTCACTTGAACTTGTCAGATGAGCATTTGTGGAGGGAGCGCGGCGAGGAGGCCGAGGTACCGGAGGACCAGGAGGAGGAGTGGGCTGAACATGAAGACTATATGACTCAGTTATTATTAAAGTTTGGCAATCATGGAATTTTTCAGCAAACTACTGACTCTAGACCCACAGATTTCTGGATAGCTGAAATGGACGTTAAATCCAAGCAGGAGTCATCAAAAAAAAAAGGCTTGGTCAGTAAGAAGTACCAGGCCGACATGTACTGGACACAATCACAGGATGGCTTGGGGGACTCTGCGTACGGTAGCCATCCGGGACCAGCGAGCAGCAGGAAAATCCAAGAGCTGGAGCTGGATCAGAGTGCCGGAGGAGGTCTACCTGGAGAGGAGCCACAGTGGTACGCCAACTCTTTGGAGTGCATCACAACGGAGTTCAAGAAAACTGATCAGAGTGCTCGGGACTCCGTGGAGTCTCTTGCTCTCTCCAATATCACTGGTGAGTAGACATAAAAGAAAATGTCTCAACAGACTCCTGTCTTCATCTTGAGACTGTTTGTAATTGGTTTGTCTCTTCTCCAGGGGCTTCGGTATGTGGTGATTATAAAGCAAGGTCTCAAGTGTATTCTCTCCAGGCACTTCATGACTATGAGGCAGAGGACTGTGATAAAACCAGCAACATGGGTACCCTCAACTCGTCCATGCTACATAGAAGTGCAAATTCCCTTAAAAGTCTGGAGGAAGATGTTACAGAAGTAGCAGAAGTCCCATTGCAGGAAAGGCCAAAACCTCACGTGCCTGCCCTGAGGAGGGCACGCTCACAGTCTAGGCCCCAGCAAGTCAAGTTCTCAGACGATGTGGTGGACAATGGCCATTATGGCGACCTTCCGTTACGTCAGCCCCCTATGAGTGAACGAACTCGCAGGAGAGTGTACAACTTTGATGATCAGGGGCACAACCTTCAATCTGGTCGCCATAGTCACCACCACAGGAGGCGTCGCAGTCGCAAGTCTCGATCTGACAATGCTCTTAATCTGCTACCCAAGGAAAGAGCACCAGTGTGCTACAAGATGCACCATAGAGGCAGTTCGCTTGGACCAAAGGGACACCAAGTCTTCCACGGTCACCTCAATCCAGCAGCCATGTCGGACTACAGAGTACAGGGCCCGGATAGGGGAAGGTTCTTGGGATTGTATGGCGATGATGATGACTGGTGTTCTACATGTTCTTCTTCATCTTCTGATTCAGAGGAAGAAGGCTTTTTTCTGGGACAGCCTATACCTCAGGCAAGACCGCACAGACATTATTACACTGACGACTTGGCCAGCCCCATTGCAGGCAAGTCTGCTCCTCCTTACGACCAGTGGACCAAGTCCAAAAAGAAAAAAGGACGAAAAGGGAAAAATTGTATAATTTCATAGGCTTTGCTGAGCTTTATGTAATGCTGCCACTCACAATCGTTTCTTTCATTAATCATTTAAAGTACAATAGCAGTTTGCTTGCTATATATTGCCTCACAGCACTCACTTTACCCAGGTAGTGGTGTTGGATACTATATGTCTGTGGCATTACAAAACAACCAGTAAAGTTATTTTATTGTAATACATATTTATAACACACAATCTAAACAGTGCTAGTGCTTATTTAAAATGCTATTGTGATATATAAACTGCTGAATGGAAAATGAGATTACTATTGATGGTCTTTGGAACAAATAGCATAGATCCCTAAACTACTGGTAGTTGGTTCGGGATCATTAAATGTGGATTTAAGCAGCCTGCGAATCTTCAATTGTGTTGCTTCCAGGCTTGCGTGAGTAATTCAAAAGCACTGTGTGTATTACACTGCTTCACCAAGGAGTGCACCAATGGTTTCATTGTATCGCAACCATTGAACATATACTGTGTCATTGTACAAACCGGAAAATAAGGCCATAATTGATAACGGTAATAAAATATGTCTACATAATGATTTTTGTGCTGTTGCAAGATATATTAAAACTTATAATGTAAAGGAAAAGGGGATTTGTTTATTTCAAAAGTTATGAATTTGAAACAAAAAGAAGAAACAACTTCAATTCAGAATCAGACGAAAACACGTGAACACTAAAGGATGCTCACATTACAAGCAGCAATAAAGTTGTACACTAATTTTTGAAGTTAATTGCACTTACAGCTGAACAAGCAAAAACAAGAAAGAAAGAAAAAAAATTCTCCTAAAAATCATTATAATACATCATTAAGAAGTTCTGCTAGAACCTGAATGTTATTTCATCTCAAGTAGTTTTGGTAACACAATTCACGGTACAAATACAAGTAAAAGTTCAAAGTTGGTATGGATATGATTTGCTAAAAATATATATTTTTTTAGATTTGGTTGCTTTCTAATTCATCAATACTGTATGTACTTCACTGTAACATTTTTAGTCATTCACAAAACCTTCCATCTGTAGAATTATGATTAACAGAATATGTGAAAAACATGAATAAAAGATTAGATTTTTTTTTTCAGTCCTCAGATTTCCAGCTCATGTCCAAGTGACTTTACATTGTCATTTTTAGCAGCCTGCCATGACCATGTCAGGCTGTCGCGTCCGGCTGCTCCAAGATCTCGTCCAGCTCCACCACGAAGCTTTTGATGGCGTCTAGGCAGTGTTGCCGGATCTCCAACAAGTTCTTGTCCAGCGGAGCTTGCAGCAGACCGTCCAAACTGGGCTCCTTGTCTACCAGCATCTTTACCACTGTGCGGAATGTTTCACAGTCCTGCCTGTAATTCTGCACAGAATAAAGAATAAGATTAAGACATGCAAAGTCAATACAGAACAAAAAATGAACTCACAGTAAAGTTAAATCACAATCTATTGTTTACTTGTCAAACCCAATATTAAGTTAAGGTAAAAACTTACTTTGTACGTATCATTACTTTATTGATAAAAATGGCAACAAAAGCTTTATTATGATCAATGGGCAATATGATCACAGTATTGCAATTCTCCAGGATAAAAAAAATTTCTCTGTAAATGTCTGCCTATTTATGAATTATAAAAAACACAAAAATTGTTATGGATCATTAAAAATGGCTTGATTCATTTACTGATGGAAATGGTTGGTCAGTCAGATGGACTAAATGAAATACAGGTTGATGGTTCAGTGGCTGGGTGAAGAAAGAGATGGATGGATAGATGGAAAGATGAATGACTAGGTGGAGAGTGAACAGATGGAAAAAACAAATGGATAGATGGATGAATAAGTCTTCTGGATCTTCTGGTGTGGTGGGTAAAGACAGAAAAAAAAAAATTTCATATATAAACATACACACATATATATATATATATATATATATATATATATATATATATATATAATGTATAAATAAAATTCCAGACTCCTCCAGGATGCTAAGAAATCCAGAACAAAAAATTGTGGCAAGGCAGAAATAATTTGTAAACCAGTGCCTCCTGGATGACAGATGGATTAAAAGAAGGACAGGTATCAAGATTTATCGCCAACCAAGCAAAAACGTTAACCTCATAAGTGAGTGCCTCTGTCACACCACTGCTTAAATTCAATGAACCGCCTCATGTCTAACCACGACCCTAATGACCCCAGGTCTGCTTTATGGACGTATTCCGTGAAACAGGTGTGTGAATGAGAGTGTATTCGCTGATTCCTGGGCATGTCTGCCCAATAAGAAAAGGAGCGCAAGGTGTCAGTCTGTTAGTAGCACTCTTTCACACTACTTTGCCAAAAGCTTTCACATCCCCCTCAGATTTTACTGCTAGCCTAAGATGGTTGTTAAGTTCTTTACACAGAGTTCCAGGTGCAATCTCGTGATGTCTTTATCACCTGGGGATGGAAAATGAGGTCCTTTATTGAAGCTGACAAGAGGTTTAGGGCTACGCCATAAGACCCAAGAGCACTACGGGACCTCAGGGCTTAAATGACCTCTTAATTTAATATTTATTAGTCAAACCTTGCATTATAAAATGCTCTACTAATCAAGTCTACATTATTTTTCCTTTTTCCTTTTAGTCATCACCTGCCAATAGCAGTCGGTCTGGTCGAAAACAACAAACTTATCTTAGCGTGTCCCGCTCAGAGCGAGTCAAATTTTATGAAGGACGTTCAAAATAAAGGTCAAAATCTGAGCGGAAGCTCAAAAAGGGTTGGGTCTTTAAATACACAGAGAAGGACAAAGAAACCCAAACAACGTGACGTTTAACCTGGAACAATGAGGATGGAAACTGTTCACCACAGGACAACCAAAAAAAAAAAAAAAAAGCTGCATTTAAGGACAGAACAAGTCAGGGGTAGAAAAAAAACACAGCTGAGTTCTTTGTTATTATAGAAGATAAAAAGAAAAAGCAAGAAACAAATCAAGCCACCAAGAGATCATACAACAGTTTCATTTTAAGCTACTCATAATACGTCTGCAGAGACATTTCCTCCTTCAAGCCACCTTTGATTGTTTGCACATAAACTACAACAGGCCAGCTTAGTGAATGGATGATGGCTGTTACAGTGGAGGGTTACCGGTGCCCACCTCGCTCTTCACACATACCTGCCAGGTCAGCTGTGAGACCACCTCGCTTGGCAGTTCAGACGCATAAAGGCACAGGGTTAACCTCGACCTGCCACACTTGATGTACTTCACTGCACCCTTAGTAAAACATTACAGGGCTATACTTATCAGTATGTGAATTTCTTTAAGCAGAAATAGGGATTATTGCTACTTTTCTCCTCAAAGAAATGATATAACATGTTTTTGGATCCTGTTTCAACACCGTGATAATGTGTTATCTTTATGTTGACATAGCAGCCAGGTGTCATATTCTGTGGCGTTATTTAATTAAGTTCGTCACTTAATCACCCGAGACGTCAGAAGAAAGGAATGGGAGCACTGAATGGAGCGGTTGTGACCGTTTTCCCTGGTTGTTTTTGCCGATACAGCCATGGCGTCAACTTGTTCAAGTCGAGCGAATTTATCTGAGGAAGAAGCACGTCTAGTTGTTGCTCGTAGAGAGCGGTACTTAGAAAAGCTGTGAATAGCTAGCTTAGGAACAGACTGACACCTTCTTCTTTTTGAGAAGCTTTACAGTAATGCATCCGCGGTGCGTCATGGCAGAGTGGGCCACTTTCCGAAGAGTGGGACATCACTTGCAAAGGGTCAATATTCTCTGCAACACTAAAGAATATATGGGAAAACACCAATTGCTCTACATATTATAGTAAGGTTAGCATGGCCGTAGGACAATATTCACTGTACACGAACAACCACACGCATTGGGAAAGGCGAATCCAATCAACTCTGACAGAAATATTCCAGACTGTGGGAGATGCTTGGACTCAAATGCATGTTTTTATGTCTGCAGATCATGTCGAGCGATTTTGAGGCCCTGCGTAATGACAGTGTTTAGCCTGACCACAAGGAAGTGGGGCACTCACAACACGTGTGGCCAGCTGAGCTCAGGGTCAGCCTCATTCAGCAGCGCAAGTCGACTCCTCGGTTCTCTCTCAGCGAGAAAAAAAAGGGAATGGCCATTGCACCATTGCTCATCGTCTCGATGTCCTCGCAGAAATTAAGCACAAGGACGACAAAACCCGTTTCTGGTTTAGAGATGAAAGAGAAAACAGATGCTAAGTGGGACACAAACATCATGTCCCACAAACCAGTAACCCTTCCAAATCACTTCACTGTTGATTGTATGTTTGCCATCTCTCTAAACAAAGTCTTCTCCTTTTATCTCCCAAGCTACACTGCTGAGAGTAATTAAATGTTCACTTTATTATTTGCCATTACACAGAAAAGCAGTCAAACAACTTTGGACTTTTTACACAGGCACATTACAGCCACAAATGTCAGTGTGTTTTGTCATGTGATATATACCAGCATAAACTACCACATAACTGAGAAGTGACAGAAAAACAACACATCGTTTGAAACTTTATTTTTAGTTCATGAATAAGACTCTTGAAAAGTGCGGCATAGAGTGTGTAGAACCACATTTTTTTTTAAACTGAATAGTTCTGGCTCAGCCAAAGTGGATGCAGAACATCTCAACATTTTTGACCCACCCACTATACTGCAGTATCCTTATTGATTCTGCCACTTTTCCTAAAGGCTTGGGGGGGGGTCATGTCTCATTTGCAGTTGTTCCAAACTCTTTTCATCTTTTATTATCCACAACTTTAAAGTTAACCTGTCTGCCGTACTTTTTGGTCTTGATGGTACCAGTTTTTTAACAAACTGAGGCCTCAAGTTTGTTTGAGGCCTCAGAAGCCTCAAACAAACTTCTGAGGCTTTAACAAACCACGTTTACAGTGAAATATAATTACGCGCAGCTGGTGACGTCTGAAGCCACGTTGCACAAGAGATGGCAGAGTCAAGGCGCATGAATACAAATAAATAGAAGAGACTTTATTGCCCATAGGTAGGGAAGTTCAGGTGCAATAAGCAATTTGTCAGGTTTAGATCTAAAAAAGATTGAAAAGCATTTACTGTTTATCTTCCACTTCACTTTAATTATGGTACACTTTGTGCTGGTCTATTCCACAGAATCCCAACATGACAAAATATGCACGTTTAAGAGGTGCGCATACTTTTATGCACATTTCAAAGATTTAACACTCCTTCACAAAAAGAGGCTTCAACATGACTCAAGGGTTAAGAGATTTCACTAGTCTGCACAGTTTGTCCTACAAGTCATTTTTTTAAGCAGTCTGCACTCCATGTTATAGTTAGGGGTGCACCAATTGCAGTTGTCTGGCCGATCGCCGATTACCGATCTTTTAAAAAGTCTAATTTACCAATTCCGATTTTAGCCGATACCAGTTTTTTGTCTGAAATTTTGCTCAATATATTAAGAAAGTTGCTGAATTGGCAACAATGGTTAACAATTGTTAACTGTAAATGTGCAGACATGACCTGGTCAGCCAGTTTGTCAGTCAAACCTCTCTCAGAGGAGAAAA